GAGATACAATTAACTAAAGCTATTTATCCTTATTGCGAACTTAAATGATTGCTTAAGATTCAACAAAAAAAGATGCCACCACAACAAATCCATCATGCAAAAAGAAGCATTCATGCAAAAAGGAGACATTTATGTAGATGTTATCATAGCCATTATTAGGATATACATTGAAATAAAATTAATCCAAAGTTGTCAATCTATTTGAGCAAAATATAACAACATTTATCTATTCTAAATGTTAATTATAAAAATAAATGATCTCTATTATTGTTGGACCTATATTCATTTATTTTTTGCAAGAGTAAAAATATTAAAATTATAAAAAAATATTTTATTTTATTTTTATTTTTATTTATTAATTATACAAAAAATCATGTTATAAACTTACAATTAAAAAAAAACCTCCATCCTAACAAATCTTATGAATTAAATAAAGAATATTAATAAAAGATTAAAACTTATGCAAATTATCTTTGTATCTTTATATACTTGTATATATATGTGGTTATTGTCTTACTTATTCTATAAATTCCTTTTAGAATAAATCCATAGAAGGGGATTCAAACACAGGGAAAGACTATTACATGAGCTTACATGTTAGAGGCACACAATTAACCATAATTCAAACCACTAAAATACTAAGAAATACTACAATGCTTTCTCCCAGTAACAATACTCCTTCATCAACTGATAGCAATAATGTGTAGCCTTGCACTCTCAAAAGACCACTCAAAATACATAAATTCCATCCAACACTAGAAATAATAGACTTCACTCCAACCAATGTAGATTCACACAATTTTTATAATCACAGACTTCCTCTGTCGAAACACACACAACTCTCAATAAACAACAATCATAATCTTCCATCTATAATCAATCTTCCAATAACTTCTCATATAATTCAATCATACAATGCTCCAATTACATAATCAATAACTCGTAAATCAATCTCTGATTTATTCCACAAATTCACTTCTCAGTATTCAAAAACTATTCATTATTCTTCAACAACAAAGAAACAAAGAGGTACCACCAAGCTTACCCCGGCTCATGACTATTATAGTCTGGCCCTTACAATATCTTCTTCAACTTATTTATGCTTTACTTCTGAAATTCCAGATTTTAACCGTTATTCCCTACATAACCATTTTTTACAACTAATTCAATCACCCATCCTATTGAATTGACTATCCTAAGAGTGATTAATCTACTTTACAAAATATCTTATAAAAACAAATTTCTACCCCTTCTACAATGTGTATATATATATATATATATATATATATAGTTTATTTGCTATTTTCAATCAAACTTTTATAAATGCATTTAAATTTTTTTTAAAAATATTAATAATTAAATAGATACTATTTTTATTATAAAAGTTGATTTGAAAGATTCCTATTTTGGTTGAAAATTTTAGTTTCAAAATGTACAAATCTAAATACAACTATATATATATTATTTTTTTTTAGGAATATTTATATTATAAATAAAATTATACTTATTAACTTATATTTTTGTCTACTTGTAATAATGATTTGAATTTAGTTGCATCAATTTTAAAGTCTTTTGTTATTAATATTGTTATTTAAATGCAATCTTATATTCTATACTTTATAGATTTTCATATTCATTTGAAAAAAAATTCACAACAAAAGTAATTATATAATCATTTTTTTTTAAATGTAAGAATTTAATAAATATTTTATTTATTTTAATTTTTTAAAAATTAAATTAACTTGAATATCTGAGTTTTTAAATATTAAAGACTAATTTATGCAATTTTAATATAATTATAAATTTACCTATATACATACACACACATATGTAAACAGTATAAATTAGTATATATCACAAGCTTGAATGATTTTTGCACAAACTATATCAATTTTTTTGCAATCAAACAAAATTTTTTATTAAAAATGTATGCTACATATGAAAGATTAATTGTTATAATAAAAATAATGGAACTGATTTTTTTTTTTTTATATTTTTAACCCATATTCAAGCAACAAAAATAAAATCTCAGTGTAAATTTGATGAGATTAAACATTAAGTTGGCCTTGCTTTTATTTATGTTTCTGAAAAAGTTAACAAGATTTTATTAAAAATTTACATGATTTATATCATAAAAAAGAAAAAAAGAAAAAAAAAAGATCCTAAATTTTTATTGAAAAAATGTATCGAATTTTTATCAATATTATCAAATAAAACTTCTATATATATATATATATACATAAATACATACACATATGTATATTATATATTAAAACTTTTAAAATATCTAAAAGTTTACAATAGTATCGAAGAGAATGTGAATAGATTCAATGGAAATTTAAAGGTTAAGAATTTTAATAACCATTGTTTATTGTGTTTATATTAGAGAAAAATTGTTATGAGATCTTGTATACAAAATTAAATCTTTAATTTTGTCTTGAATAATAATTCTATTAGAATTAATAAGAAAATATTATGCAATGTGATTGTTGACTATAGAATAGAATTATTAATTGAGAATTTGTTTTATTTGTGTGTATTTTTTGTAGAATAGGTGTTGTGTAACAATTTTCAAAATTTAGTGGATCTTCCTAAAAGAAAAGTAGAAACATCATATTCTTAGATTTAAGAATGTTACAAAACATAGTTAATGCTATTATAATTTTTTTTTGAAGTTGCTGGTTGCAAAAAATAATAATTTACTAAATGAATGCTAATAAGTTATGATATTATTTTGAATTGTGATATTATTATTTTGACTTGTGATATTATTATTTTATGATAAAATATTTTCATTATCTAGTAGGGTTCTTCTATAATCTACTAATAGTATTCATGTATGTATTTATATACACACATACATCAAATCAACTAGATTCTTCAAATCTGTACCTAGATGTAATGTTTTTTTTGTTTTGTTTTGTTTTGTTTATTTATTTTTTTTTAAATTTACAATTGTGAGGAAGTATTTTATTACATTAATCAAAACAAAAAACAAGAGATTTATATATATTAATAAAGTGTGTGTGTATATATATAGATAAATATATTTATACATAGCAACTATTTTCAGGAACTTTTAAACATTTTTATTCTATTTTAAAAACATTTGTGGCCAATAATTAAAAAAGCGCCTTTAATTCATCACTTACTTAATGCCATTCTATCCCATTGAATAAGTAACTTTTGATCAATTTAAAACATAAATTCAGCTTACTAAATTAAAAAATTGAACTTTTTCTATGTAGAATCAGGAATCTGTAACATTTGAAATAAAAATTCAAATATAAGTGGTTGTATAAAAAATTAATTAACAACATTTTAAAATTTTATTACTACCAATGAGCTATGAGCCTTCAAAGTTTGAATTGTTGTGGGTGATGCATTGCAATGAATCTCATTCTACCTCCTCTCACAAAATCTCCAAAGTGGACATTAAAATACTTCATAATGTCGCATCATTTATGCTCATTGTTTTATTATTATTATTATTATTGTTGTTGTTGTTCCTTATCATAATAATATATAATGTATCTGGCTCCACTGCAAATAACACACATCGGAATCAGATACTGAGACAGGAAATCCGGGGACATGTTGACTGTGGGAGGCATGAAGATACTTCGCCGTTTGTCTTGTTGGAGGAAATCTGGACCTGCGTTGAAAACTTCAGACTCAATGAGCGGAATGGCGCTTGGAATCAGAATTAGAAAGAAAGACTGTTACAAACTTATGATTGAATCCATAACACAGTTTTATGCTCACTGTTCACCAGGTCAAGACAGCTGAGAGGTTGCGCGAGCCATCTCTGGTCATCAAAGCTTCATTTTCATGCTCGTAGAGCTGCAGCTGTTGCTCCAGTTCCATGTGCTTTGGTATGTTCGCCTTCCTGGAGCTGCGAAGTCTGTGTCCCCACATTGTTGTCTAAAGTGAGATGATATGTGAATCACGTTCGGCAAAGCTTGGACCTCGAAGTAGCGGACATGAGAATCGCCCGAACACTTTCCTGTCCTTCGGACGATAGTAGCTTTGATGACTGATGATTGTGTACTCGGAAACCTGTCTACGATGTCGACTATGCGCAGCTTTCATTTGTCACTCATGAGGGAACGTTCCAGTGTTGCAAAGAAAAGTTCTTCGCGAATGCCAGCGCTGGAGTCCCGGTCCCACGGAGGCCACTCGTAAGGACCATAAAGCTTGGCCTTGACACACAACGAGAATTTTCTTATTCCCGAGAATCTCATCACCTATATAAAGACGGCGACATTCAGGGATCGGGATCACAAAGCGCATGGGGGAGATGCGGGATGGAATTGAGAGTGTTCCAAGAGGAACCCGTCCATGGAAAGGAAGCGCGGGATATTCCAGAGGATTTTGCTGCGTGTTGTAGGGGATGCGCGCGCAGGAAATCCCCAGCACCTCGGTACCCACCTCACCCGAGATCCGTAGCGCGCATCTTTCATCGCCTGCGGGGAAAGCCCTGGTGGGTGTGAAGCGCTTCAACCCAAAGCACTAGAATCCTCCTTCTCGCCACTTCCATGGTTCAGAATAGAAATCTGCGCCCTTCCTTGCATTCATGTATCGATCAGGCGCACTCTTTGGTGTTGCGCCGGACCGCAAACCGATGTCAAACCAGTCGGCGATGATCGCCGCAGCCACTCCAACACCGTTAACGAATAATATCATTCATCCATCACGTATATTCCCTCGGTGACGTCTCCCTCTCTCATCCGGTCCCTGGTTTAGCCAACTGTAGTATGTGTGATGATCTCAACCGACCGATGAGAATCGTCGATCGATCGACGGCACATGAGATGCGGCCATTTGGCAATGTGCAGGTCTGCGTTCACACTGTAAACATGGAATTCCCAATAATGGTCGCGTTTACACCACAGGGCCTGAAATGAAAAGCTGACGTGGAGTTGATGTGCTGACTTAGATTTGCCACGTTGACATGCTACGGGAACAAATTTAGACCAACGGTTAGTGAATGGACTCGTGGATGAACGCTGTGATTTTTATGGATGCGTTATTCGTGGTTTCACCCACGCAGTGCTCGACATCTCCGTTTCGTCAAGGCTCCGATTTGTGGCTCTCGCAGAGGAAGGGATTCATGACGCCGTTGAATTTAGTTGCGGGGACACTGAGTTGAGGCTGCAGTTGTATTCTGAAGGGTTTCTGAAGGGAGTTTGAAGCAAGGGGGGTTTGAAGGAGGTTTTGCGAGGCGAGGCTGGACGTTGTTTGTGTGAGTTTCGGTAAGCGATGGCGGGGCTGCTACTGCTGCGCCAAGCGGGGGCTTCAACCTTGTTGTGCGCTTCTTCCTCGTCTGATTACGCCAAAGGGTCCTCCTCAGTGCCGTCTCTCTCTGCTTTGGGACGACAGAATGGCGATAGGCGAGCCGGGAGATTGCAAGTCTCAGCCAGCTTGCAGAGCTTGGTGTCGGATATGAGCAAGAAAGGTGTGCATGAAACTGTAGCTTGGTGTCATTCTCTTAGGGAATCGAAGAAGAAAAAGGAAGGCTTCATGGGTGTAGGATTTTTTGGCGAGAGAACGTGAATGTTTCCTACACCGTTTTTTGATTTTTGAGTCTTGGGTGCGAATTGGTTGTGTGGGAATTTCGATTTCGTATCTTTGCCATGGATGGGTTGGAGTGGTATTGATTCTAGTTTGTGGTGGCGGGTTTTGTTAAATTTTAGCACCGAAGGGGCTTTTCCCTCCTGAACCCGAAACCTACAAAGGACCCAAGCTCAAAGTGGCCATCATTGGCGCTGGTCTCGCTGGCATGTCCACTGCCGTGGAGCTTCTCGAGCAAGGACACGAGGTGCTGCTTTGGACGGATTCGCATTACTGTCTGGGATTTTCCTAATGTGTTTCAATATCAGCGGTCTGTGGTCTGAAGTTGCTGCCGAGGTATTGATTTGTAGGCCTGGGTGTTGACCATGGGTGATGATGGTGCACAGGTGGATATATATGAGTCGCGGAAGTTTATAGGTGGGAAAGTGGGGTCTTTCAAAGACAAGAATGGAAACCATATTGAGATGGGGTTGCATGTGTTCTTTGGGTGTTACAATAATCTCTTTCGTCTCCTGACCAAGGTACAGTCTTCGCCTTTTTTTTTTTTTTTTTTTTTTTTTTTTCACGTAACTTGATTTTGGTTATTCGTAAATATGTGACCTCTGGAATTCCTCACACGGAAGAATCAATTAGCGTCGGAAGTAGATGACTCTAGAATTTTTAGACAATGTCCACACGAAAAATCAGTATACTTTGTTATATTTCCCTGCACTGGTATCTTGAGGTTTTCATTATGAACTCGGGTGAGTTGTTTGAGTTGGTTGGCAGTAGCAATTTCGGCTGCCACAACTAGATGATCCCCGCCCCCATCTAATCACTGTAATCCTTGACAGGTTGGTGCAGACAACAATTTACTGGTCAAGGATCACATTCATACCTTCATTAACAAGGGTGGCAACGTTGGAGGTCGGTTGTTCCTGAGTTCTTCTTTTTGCTCATTTAGTTGGGTGTTTGGAGGCAAATGTAGATACGTAGGGCAAATTTTGATGATCTATGACTGGGTTTTAACTTTTTTAGTCAAGCCATGTTGAGTGTCGTGTCTTCATTTGATCATCTCTGGTTACATGAGAAAGTGCAATAATCACTTGCATAGTGTTGTAATAATAAATGAGCGCAACTATCTGCGGGCAATAAGTAATCTGCTGTAGGTTCGGTCGAACGGGTTTTTTGTAGGACTTATCCGAACTAATCTTTGGACGTCAGATAGTTTTTTCAATTGCATATTCAGCTGATAAATTGTTTTGTATGCACTGGTTTACCAGGAGGATGCAGACGCCGTTTTCAACTAGAATTATGCGTAGCACGTAAATTGTTGCTCACATTTCTAGTGGCGCTCTTCTACAGAGTTGGACTTCAGATTTCCAGTTGGAGCACCTCTGCACGGATTGAATGCATTTATCACCACAAATCAGCTTGAGGTAAGTACCTCCTTGCTCCTCTGATCCGTCATTTGTCGTTGCATCATCCTAGCGTAGCTATTAAGTTCCCTCACCTCACCTTTTTGAGGATTTTACACTGTGTTTCGAAGCGATATTCCACCGTTGACGAATGTAAGCTTAAACGATCTTTATTTCGTTTTACTGGTGGGCTTTAACAAGCTTTAGGAAGTTTCACGAAATCCTCACATAAAATTATATAATATGGCATGTTAAACAGCCCGTAGACAAGGTTTTGAATGCGGTAGCACTAGCAACAAGCCCAGTCGTACGAGCCTTTGTCGATCCAGAGGGGGCTATGCGCAACATCCGGGACTTGGACAAGGTATGGATGCTTTCCTGACGACCATGTGCATTCTCATGCTCTTTGATGTCCTCTTTTCTGAGCGCGATAGTAGGATAATTTTGAGAGGAAACAAGAGAAGCGGAGGATATACAGAGTGCCATTGTGGATGCTTGATTCTTCCAGTTCTATATGCCTTCACTACCCTCTCAGTTTCTACGTAATAGATTCTATATTCCACCGTAGTTAACCATCGAAAACTCTTAAGAAACGGAAAGGATCTGCTTCTTTTTTCAAGGCCTAAAGTTTAAGAAGCATTAGTGATTTATGACGATTTGGCAGGTGAGCTTTACAGATTGGTATATGTCTCATGGTGGGTCTCGCATGAGCATCAAAAGGTTGTGGAACCCTGTTGCTTATGCTCTGGGTTTCATAGACTGTGATAATATCAGTGCGCGGTGCATGCTCACCATTTTTCAATTCTTTGCGACCAAAACCGAGGCATCACTATTGCGAATGCTCAATGGTTCTCCTGACATGCGTCTCAATGGGCCAATCGCAAAGTACATCACAGAAAAGGGCGGCAGGTATGACAGATCCTTTTGAAGCGAAGACTTGGCTGTTATGAACTCGCTCTTTGATCTCGTTTGCAAAACACGATACATGTGTCATTGATGTTGTGGAATGCTGCTCCTTGCCATGCTTATGTCTCGTTGTCTCTTGAAGGTTCCACTTACGATGGGGCTGTCGTGAGGTTCTTTATGATCGCACATCAGAGGGAGAGACATATGTGACTGGGCTTGTGATGACAAAGGTGAGTGTCGTCTAGGTATCCATTGACGTGCAGTCTTCAACATGGGATTTGAAAAACTATTGTTGTGTTGAGCTGCAGGTTTTCATCAGGAAATGTAAGTTTTCAATATATCATACCAATTGTTCCAGTGAACTGCGACTGTTTTGAGTTAATATGAGAGACGGTATGGCATAATTACAGATCATGTGGAAGTGGCTGCTAAGTTCGATTCGTTAACTTTACTGAAAAGAGGAGATTCTCGAGCTAACACTGTCTTCTGATTTTTGTCGCTGATAGACGAGAGTGATTCTGAACTAGTAACTACAATTTGTTATATGTAATCGTCCTCATGTATGTGGCGTGGGTATTTGCGGTATGATAAGGCTGCCCAACTCGATGTGTCAGGAAAGGTCCTTAGTTGATGCGTCTTGTGACGCAAGTTTTGTCATTTCGTCAGCAATGTTTGAAGATCATGTTCTGTTCCGACTTTTGAACGTCGCTTGCAACAGGCAACTGAGCGTCAAATTATCAAGGCAGATGCTTATGTGGCAGGTAATAATCATCTCTTGAATCTTATGAGGTTGTATTTTGATCTAGTCCGGTTGTGGGCTTGTGACAATCTCTCGACTGTTTCAGGAGAAGGTTTTGATCTTTTTTTCTTTCCCCTCCGTGTGCGCAGCTTGTGACGTGCCAGGGATACAGAGACTTCTACCGCAGCCTTGGCGTGAGTGGGAGTTTTTCGATAACATATACAAGCTTGAAGGAGTGCCTGTTGTGACAGTGCAATTACGATTCAATGGCTGGGTCACTGAAATGCAAGATTTGGAACTTTCTAGGTATTCCCGGCATTACTTTCTAGTTTTTTTTTTTTTTTTTTTTTTTTTTTTTTGTAACTATATTCTACCACTGCAAGGTACTAGCCAGCAGCTTTACTAATCTTTGGCGGGGGTATTAATATTGTCTTTCGATCGCATGCTGCTTGATGAATGCCAGGAAGGATGGTTTATAATGCTTGCATCTGAATATTCTGCTCACCCTGATGCAGGCAGTTGCAGCGAGGTGCAGGATTAGATAATCTTCTTTACTCAGCGGACGCAGATTTCTCATGTTTCGCTGATCTCGCATTGACATCACCTGAAGATTATTACAAAGAGGGAGAAGGCTCTCTCATCCAGTAAGTCGCGACCTCTCGGTCCAACGCGTGAGGGGCCATTAAGTTGCCCATGCATTTTCTGTCTGTTTAACTACATTCGAAGTGTCACTCTGTTTCGTGGTTTGACTCCAATTTGATATTGTTGTGCAATACCAGAGCGGTTTTAACTCCCGGAGATCCATACATGAAATTAACAAACGACAAGATTGTCAAAGCCGTGCACGAACAGGTTTATTTTTTTTCCCCTTCCAGAAGTTTTGACATATCACACATGAAATAAATAATCATACAGGAATATAGGTTCATTATGAAAAGCTTTTTGTATCATTCCACGAAGCATGGAATCTCATTTAGGAGCATCAGTGCATATCGTGAAGAGAGTTGCGAAAAAAAATGTTGGTACGGTGAAAAACAAGCGTATTTGGGGCTCTCAAAAGAGACTCAGCATCAACCGACTTGTGTCTTGTGCCTTGCGCCGCATACGTGATTATTTTACCCTCAATTTCATTTTGACTCCAGGTTCTTCGGCTCTTCCCCTCAGCTACTGGACTGGAGATGACGTGGTCATCTGTGGTTAAGATCGGTCAGTCATTATACCGTGAAGCTCCCGGCATGGACCCGTTCCGGCCTGATCAAAAGACCCCGGTCTCCAACTTTTTCCTCTCAGGCTCCTACACCAAGCAGGTACAGCATGGCATGACTCCCACTTCTAGCAAGATTTTTGAAGCTTACTTGATAACTCGCAAGTTTATGGTGGCTGAAGAGGCCACTATACACTGGAGATTTTCCTTCGTTGTAAAAGTAGCAGATTTAAGCCGTGCAAGGTACACGCAATCCATGGACTTCGAAACGAACATCACCTCACATTTCAGTGAGGAGGATGGCATATTCTCATGCAATTATGGATTTGTTGAAACAGGACTATATTGACAGCATGGAGGGAGCCACCCTTTCCGGACGGCAGACATCTGCTCGAATCAATGAAGCAGGTTCTTTTCTCTACGATCTGCGACAAAGACAATCCCAAACAGAAGTCAATGCTCCCCTCGAAGCCACGGACGAGCCGACGTTTGTGTTGGATTTTAGAGGTTAGTGCAGTATTGTCGCTGTTATTAGCACATTATAAACTGTAATTTTAAACCACTGTTTGTTTAGTGACGTGATGATGAAGGTTGTAAAAGCTCCTTGTACACTCGACCTCGGTATATGATCCCCATGAAGTCTAGACTTTTAGGCTTCCAGTCAAAGTTTCACGGTTCGGTGTCTCAGAGACTTTTAGGCTTCCAGTCAAAGTAGGTTTTGTTTCCGCAACTCACTTCGTTTTCCCCTGAAAGCTGGACCGAGACATTCTCCTGCCGAACTAGATACCAGATGTATTTTCCATTGACCTACGCATACTCACATGCGTACCAATCACGGAACACTACTGGTCCACTCATACCGATTAGAAGAACACTAGGATATGCTCCGCATGAACGAGTTTCCATATTTCCGCATCCCAGCGAAACTCGGCTCAGAGAGCAATAAATATCTACATACCATTACAAATCGTACAACAAACTAAGAACGCAGGGCGAGGTGCATCAGATTTAAAGAGCTCGTTTAGATTCCTCACTTGCCATAGGACACATAATTAGTTCGCATCATTTACACTTGCCCTGATCCATAGCGAAACCCAACACACCTAGACTACACACATTCGAATAAGTCAGCAATCTTATCACAACTAACAGCAGCGAGAAGAGGTAAAAACCCGTAATAGCTCTAAGAATAAGACATGCACAAAACTAAAAAGCTAGATATTGGTTTCGTATCATTGCATGACATAGTAAACCCTAAACCCTAAACCAAGAGAACAACAATGAAAAAAAATTTAAAACTAGACAATCCCACACTCACAAACTGAAGCACTGCGTGAAGTTTGGAGGCAAGCCGAAGACCATACGGCAAAGCGGAAGGGGACTGAACTCGGAACGAAGTTGGGAACAAAACTGGGAACAGCAGTTAGGGAACGAAAGTCTCGTTGAAGAAAGAGATGAAAAAAGTAGAGAAGGAAGTTTCATTCATCTTACCTTCATCTTCCAAAATTTGTCCTTCAATACTCGAAATAGATGGACGTTGGATTTATTTTATGGATGAAGATAAAACGGATGAACGCTTCATGGGTCTGAGGCATTGGGGCATCGAGTCAATACCGACACCGGGAGTTTCTCGATTGCAAGCCTGTTGACTGATCGGATGCGATGCAGATTCCTTTCAAAGTGTTGTTGGATGATCTTGTGATTTGTTTCTTTTGTGAGAGTAACCGAAATTTTCGACAATACAATCACTTGTGCTCAGAGATCGCCAGCGTATCTTGTCGCCCTGCTTGAATCCAATTTTCCTCATCTGTTGAACAATTGGTACGAAATCTCCCAATTTCTTGACTCAATCGGTTTTCAGAATCACGTCGGGGGTTTTTACGATTTTTGGGTTTTCGATTTCGGGCTGCGTTAATGAAGCAGGGTTAAGGCGATTCCTTGCTTTTAAGTGAAGTGCTGGATTGAGCATTTTTATGTCTTGGTGCTCATCTGCTTTATTTTTGCAAGGTTGAGCTGTGCCCAGAAATTTTCAGGACCTTTGGTGATGCGTTGTTTTGGTTTCAGTGTCAGGCAGCTGTATGAGTTTTTTGCCGAAGCTGATATGGAGTTAAACTCAAGCTTGGTGATCTGTGATTCTATCAAAACCAATTGTAGTCTCTTGCTGGACTGTTGGAAGTTTGGTGCTAACAGGTCGTAGGCACATCTGCAGTGGCTGCTCTCGCTGTGTCCAAGAGGTGCGTAATTAATCTTCATCTCTCCATCCGAACTTGGTTGACGTCGTGCGGAAAGTTCCGAGTCTCTAATCATGTGCAGGTTGTCGATTCTTGCATTGGGAGATATGACAAGTTGGCGCACCGCTTACCAAGTTCCCGACATTTTGTTTCAACTTTAGTGTATGTTCCTGAGAATATCTAGGAGTTTTGTATGGCATGAATTGTTCAGTTTGGAGTTAACGGATCATCAAATGATGAATGAGGAATTTCATTACCGCCGCGATGTGTACATATAGTTGAAGTGTCAATTTTCAATGCAATATGCAGAACTGATTTATGTTGAGTTTCCCATCACCTCACATTTCGTGTCTAGTCGCCGGTAAGCCCTGTTTGAGGGATTACTCATCTACCTATAATGTCACATCGTCTCTCATTCAGTGATCTCCTGTACAGTCTTCAGAGGATTTTTTTTTAATTTTTTAAATTTTTTAAATTTTTAAATTTTTTTTATCGTGTGTTAAATTACACGCTATAATTGCGAATGACTTCCACACCTGCTTCGATGACTGGGCAGTGTTAATAGATGTATTCTATTTTATGCTTTGCACAGATACATTGCGGAGACGCATTTTGAATTGAGGAAGTGCAGTGCAATTCGCAATGATTTTGATCCCAAGAGTAGTCACTAGTTGAGCTTTTGTGTGGTAAGGGAGGTCACAAAAGCGTGATATTTTGTATAACTGACAGATTCTTTTGAGCTCTCATCAAACCGTTCGAGCTTAGCGTCCTATTAAGCAATTCTAGAGGTTTTTTTCACACTTTATACATTACATATGAAATGTAGTTCGTCATAGAGTTTGTGTGTCCAACATTTGGGTTTTGAAAAGACATAGACATGAGATCATACAGGGATATCCGAATCAAAGTGCGTAGCCTACCAGATACATTTTTGCTGAAATGCCTTCAGGACATCTGGTCATTGTTGTTTCTCACTGACAGATTTAAACTGTTTATTATTATTTCTTAGGAAAAAAGGTTCACTCGTTAATGCCCCAATCTGTCAGTACTTCAAGATTCAAATTGGATCTATGTTGGATGATGCACGGCTGCACTTGGAAGCCTGGCTCTTTTTCACGGAGATTTGTTCTTAATTCATTGTATTTCCATGTTTTGAGACAATTATTTCGATGCAATATATTTCTCAATCGTCAAAGCTTACTGAGAAGCTGGGTTTTTGTGCAGGTGAGCAGAATGGAAGCTATCTGGGAAAACGTGCAACTTATTTCAGTTGTTGAATGCGCGTTCTGCAATCTCTTCTTGGACCATTAGCAAGTTGATTTGGGCTTAGTAGCTTATGCTCGTAGTAATTACTTTTGACCACGATTGTTTGAGATGATTCCAACAATATGAAAGGCATTGATTAGGGTAGAACTTAGTGCAATTTGCATGATTAATTGTGGAGTTATGTGTTATAGACTTATCGAGATCTCAAGCTGTTTATCATGTTAGTGTCTTGCTAGTGTTGATTTTCTTGCTTTTTCTAGCATACTCAGATCATCCATGCCGTGAATTTTAGGACTAATGCCTATGACTCAGTCACACACATTAGTCAGCTCATGGTATTCTTGTTTGTCGTATGATTTGACTTTCTGGATAGTATTTGACCTCGATTCTTCTGTTTTTTTGGGATTGTTTCTTCATTGAAGGACATGTCTGGATATCCTCAAGTTCAGAGCTTGGAAGCACACCTTCACTTGCGTCCTGGTTTTGATGTTCTTGTCATGGAAGCTTTGCGCGAGTTTCTATTGCTTGCAAAGGTTTGTACTTTTTGCGCTGTATGTTTTAATGGCTACCTTGGTGTAACGTTTGTTTCGACTCAGACTTCTTGATTTCTTATCTAGGGCCTGAAATGTTTATGCATCACTTAAAAATGTAAATGTTTCTCTCACGTTCCGTCGTGTTGTAAGCTAATCGACATAAATTAATTCATTGTACAGATTGGAGTTCGTTTACGCTTGGAGTTGCAGAGAACAGTCCTGAGTACTAACTATGGCACATTTAGAAAGCTTCAAAATGGGAGGTCTGTGGACCCATAATTTTATCTTTCAAATGCATGTGATATATCTTGTGCCACGGCAGGGATTCGTGATTTGATGAGGCATATCATTCGGTTAGGATCGCTCAAGTGGAGTAACAGAGTATTTGTAGAGGGTGCCTACGTTTTGGGGTACAATATCTTACCCAAGATTTTTCGACAGAGGATTCTTTGATCGAGCTGCATGGATACACATGACTGAGCAAGGGATCTGCTGAAAAAGTCAGCTGGTCTGGAGTTCCTCAGTGGAGCAGAAGATATTCTGAATTCTGAAGTCAACCAATCTGCTGAAGTAGTTGATGTAAAGAGAACTGACAATCAAAAGCATTGCTCGAGATAAGTTAGTATTCCATGATTGGTTGATGCTAGTGTGGATTACATTTCAGTGGGCAATCTTAGAACAGGTTAGATTTAGAGAATGTTTGTGTCGAATCTCCTTGGCATTGTACTGTCTTCTCAGACGAGGTCTTGGATTATCTGCATCACTTGCATAGATTACGGCGAGAGCTTGGAAGACCCTGCTCAGCGTCTTTAGATAAAGTATGGCGGAGGGGCTTTTGCTTGGATAATGGCCTCAAACGTCGTTACACAACGTTCTCAAGGATAGAATGTCGATGACCAAGATAGGATGACCCATTAAAGTTCCGAGTTGTTGTCTCTGATACTCATGTTAAAGAAATTGACAGCCATCGCCAAGGGAAATGGAAGTTTCAAAGCGGATTGAGTGATGTCATCGAACTCACGTATGAATGGTTCATGGACGTCGCACGAGATAGATTGAGCATGCAATTCGCTTTTGGCAGGAGAAGTCTTCATCAAACACCGGTTGACAAGATTTCCTGATTACTTATCCTGCTAATTAAGGTTTGTGGTTGTGCTCTTCTGCGCAATTCTAGACAATTGTCGACAACGCTCCAGGTTCTCGAACATTCAAACGCAGTGGATGGACTCATCAACCCTACTAGTACACATTTGTAGTAATAAACTGCACGCCAAGTTCAGAGGGTGTAGGTTCACAACGATTATAAAGATCACATGTGCTTTCCATCATCCCCCCATCTCCCTATTTCCAATGGACAAGTCAAATACACATGAAGATGAACATCTCACAAGAGGCGCAAAGATTTCTGAAAACGCAAAGTCTCATTCAAGGAGAATGAGATCGTCTGTCCGATCCAGCCGGCAGTCGAGGGAGAGACGTCGGCTACTAGTTCCCACGATTTCCCACGATTTCCTGGAAGCCAGCCAGCCAGCCAGCCGGCGGGGGTAGGGGTGGAGTATTGTATAATGTCGATTGTGCTGGAAACTGGATTCCATGACGATTTCCTTGCGTGGTGTACAGACGCAATGAAACGGGTCACGGTCAAATGAAGGTGTGGAGGTCCTGCTGCTGCTGCTGCTGCACTCGAGGATATAAAACAATGTGCCTTAAACGATCATGGACCCACAGCAGTGAAGAAGAAGAAGAAGAAGAAGAATCATGGGGTGGGGCCGGGGTCTGGGCGGACCTATATTATTCGTGGGGCCAGGGCAGAGGACGAGGGCGGAGATCACAGTGACCATGACACCACACCACACCACACAACCCTCGGGAAGAGCTTCGCTGTGAGCGCCTGGCAACGGTCACGCTCTGCCGTTTCAACCCCTCTTCTCCTTATGCACTTCCCAATTCTCACTTCCTCTTCGTCCTCATCAGATCGAAGCTTCGAAGGCTGCAGATGATGATGATGATACAGTTCCGTTGACAGGGCTGAGAAACTCTCTTGTGCCCTGGAGGATGATGATGCTTGTGACGATTGTGGGAGTGGACAGGCCGGCCCTCACCTCATGCATGGGTTTCGCCATTATTCAAGGCCAGCCTTTTGACGACGCCTCAGTCAGTCCGCGCATTTAATGCTCCCCCCTTCCTTATTGCAGGACCTTGGCGTGCTGCCTCGTTATTGCCACATTATACAGCCAATCTTTCAGCCCCAATTCTGCTTCGACTCAACATGCAAGCAAAGCAAATAAATAAACAAAACAGGTATCTATATATATATATATATATATATATATATAAATGTATATTAAGAAAACAAATAGATAAAAACACGATCTGTACCTTGGGAAAGGCCTTCTTTTGCCGTCCTTTTTTACTATTAAAGGTGGATTCTTTACCACTTGGGGTGGTGACATTTTTCCTTGCGGGTTGATAATTGTATAGTTTGTGTGTGTGTGTGTGTGTGTGTGTTTTTTCTTTTTTCTTTTTTCTTTCTCCAAGTCTGGAAATTTTCTTCATTTTGGGGTACTAGCTCGATTTCATAGTTGCTTGGTGCAGATGGATTTCAACTCTGGGATTGAGCGTTTGGGCCTTGAGACTGGGTTTGTTCAGTATGATTGAGTTCCTCTGCTTTTGATTGCATGCATTACTTACTCCTTTGTAATGGTGGTGTTGCTATTGTTTGACTTCAGAAACACTTCTTTTAGCATACTGAAGTCTGCAATTGTAACATGGACTTGGAAATTAGAAACGACAGTTTTATATATATATATATATATATATATATATATAATTCCTTTTTCAGAAAGTTTGAGGCACAATTGAAGGGAGATAGAAGGTAATTTGAATTGATGAACGGTATCCTTCAGATTCTAACTTTTGCTTGAGTCATTGCTAGTTCTTTCTGACCCTGAACCCTAATTCCACAAAAGCCTTATAAATAGGCCTGATTATAATAGGCGCTTAACTAAATTACCTAAAATAGTTTAATTTAGTAAATATAGGTGGTAGGAAAATTTAGGCAAGGCTCAATGCCAATAAATGAACATTATTGACTAGATTTATTCAAGGTAATGCAAATCATTCTAAAGGATCACTCAAAATTAACAAGTGTCTTGATTTGGATGTATTGCTTTGCTTATAATATGCCTTTGAGTCCAAAGTTTGATAGACTTTTGTGGTAATCATCTTTCACCCATCTCAAGATAAAGAAGTTAAATCCCTACTACACATGTTGGAGAAGAGAGTTGCAATACTACCCCAAAACTTGACTAAGTTTGAGAAATGGGCATTGAACAAGATCCAAACATTGTCAAACAATGTCTTTTCATTGCAAGCATTAATGCTCCCCTATAAAATATGATTATTGGTGTAGGTACAAAGAACTTTGTGCTTATTAACAATCAAGTTGATGTACGTTGCAAAGTAACAATGCTACAATTGAAAGCTCTATCTACGAGCCTTACAAATAAAGTTGGATGCAAAAATTAAAATGAGCTCATGCAATAAAATAAGCAATAAAAAATATAGGTTTGCATGTGGATTATTGACTACATCATATTACATAAAGATGTCTTCATTATGATTACATCCTACGATGAAGATGAAGCCAATGTCTTGTAGCAAATGGTTGTGCTCAATTTCTTTAGTATCATTGAGAATGTTTTTTATTCAAGATGTGAGATCAATAAAAAATATTTGTGCTCATTAAAAAGAGAGACAACATAACAACTGCTCATAACATGCATTGTTAAATCCAAGCTTAAGATCATTTTATTGGTGAGTAAGCCAATTGATCTAAGATCTTCAATAAAGTGACTAACAAAAGCCTTAAGATTTGCCTCTTCTTGCAAGATTCGAGTTGTTAGGCCTTGAATCTTATGAAACATCCAAGCTTTGTATTCTATGAAGGTATCCATTATAGGCAAATAAATCTACTAAAGCCAAGGCAGGATGCTTGTAGGTTCTTTCATCTGAATGTAAGTAAGGAGCTTCAGCCGATACTTCTTGAACCAAGTGGTAACCTTGTTTGTAGAGAGCCAACGGTTTACAATATAAGGACATATTATATTCATTTTTACAATAAAATTCTATTGCTACATAAGGTACAAAATGATGCCAATCATTACAAAGAAGAAATGTTCATATACAACTACATTAATGATATGCTCTATGAATAGATCGAGTTGATACACTCTACACTAGATACAAATCAATTTGTAATTATAATGAAGAGTTTTCTAAAGCTAAGTCATGACGTTGGTGAAACAACTGATCATGTTTCTAGCTCCATTAGTTAACATGCCAAAAAGGTGCATCCTCCAATTAAACATAATACATGAGGAAATTTAGCAACCATGTTGAACATAACTTCACTTATGTACTACTCAAGAATTGGGAGCATACATCCATGCAAGTTGATGATGATGTATTATTGCTCCACATACATACAAAAATGTATGTCAAGATATAACATGCTTTGATGGGCTACAAAGTCAAGCATCAATTAGAATGTCCACATATTATGTAGTAATTTAAATAGACATTGGAATTTATGGTACAAATCATCTTGAAAAAACTACTCATATTATTAGAAGTACAAGAACACAACAATGGAGAAAAGAAGACTTTGTATGTCTTGTTGATGATGTTTGATGTTATGGAAAACAATGCTCTACACACAACATATCAAATTACAAGACTGAATAGTTTTGTCTTGATCTTTGGAATTATGATAATATAAAAATATAATGTCTCATCTTCATTATGTGTTAATTTGCTATACTTAAAAAGTGAAATTGTTCACTCCTTCATCTTCAAAGCAATTGTATAATGATTATTGATTGCAAGCACATTTGGCCCTACAACCAAAAGCAACCTAGTCTTCATTTTGTTCCAAGTCATTATCATTGTCGATGGCTTCATCCTTAATTAAATACATCATATAATCGATGATGACTTCAACAATGGTTTTGTTTATATTTAATACAATTTCATGTTGGCTTAAAGCTTTAGAGATGAAGTAAGATCTTATTGAATTTTGAAATAGGATAGTAACATCATCAAAGAAGGCATCATCCTTTGCTTTTGATTGGAATTGTATATACTTATAGAATTTGACAATGTGTTGCTTCTTCATGTATAAGTCAATATTGTTATATTGAAATGACACACTTTAACCTTATATATTGGTTGTGATCTTGTGCTTTACTCCAACATTCTCCTAATGATTAAATGCAATATAGAAGTGGTACTACACGATGTTGACAACCAAAGTGGCAACACAAGAAGAGACAATTTTCAAACCATACTTTACATCATTGACCTTAATATAACCCAAGCTATACTTAGATATCAAAATCAGAGGTCTAAACATCAATAAACAAAATAACTAACTACCACTTTGCTTTCTTGTTGTACAATTGAAAAAGTGATTTAAGTAATTAGTAACTACTGATTGCTTTGCTCTATAGTTGTGCAATTGAAAAAGTGATCTAGGTAGTCAATAACTACTATTGTGCAAACAACCTTAATTTAGGCACATTTGAAGAATTAATCTAGGCAATTAAGGTGCCAAAATCCTAAAGTGCCCATTATAGACAAGTTTGCTTATAAACCTTATTACAACAAAGAGGAACACACTTATTCTTTTAACATCACCTCCTACCTATGATAAAAACCTTCTTTCACCCATCCATATAACCAGAAACATTCATCCAAATATATTCATCCATCAAAAATACATTCATTCGTCCAACAAAGGCAGGTCGCGGAGACGACAGCGCGGGGCTGCTGTTGCAAGGAGATCGACGCTATGGGAGTGGCTCCGAATTCAGAAATGGCATTGTGATGGGGGCAGTGTAATACTAGTAGTAGTAGTAGACAGAAAGATAGAGAGTTAGATAAATAGATCTGATTGGATCTGAGGGGAATGAGCATCAGCCCAAGGTCTGGCGAATAGACTCTCTCTCACTCGCTTTAGTCAAGTCTAGTGCATAATCATCCCATGCAGGGAGGGAGGGAGGGGGATGGTGCTGCGTCGATCGCAGACTGGAGTTCCTCACATGGAGGAGGAGTGCGCAGCCCAGATTCTTCCGACATCACGATGGGAATATCTGGTCCGGGGCTCGGTGAAATAGTTAATCTGTCCATCGGGGTATGGAAGCTACTACTACTGATGAACGTGGCCATTGCGTAGCCAAGTTTGCAATCATTCCACAGTGGGACCAGGATCAAGTAATGGCGCGTGGGTGATCAAAAGCAAGCCAGAAACTTGGGCCATGATCAGTTAACGAAACGCCTCGACAGTGAATTTTCGGCGTTGTTCACCTTGTTTGAGTCGAAGTTTCGCGAGGGTGCTGATTAGTTTCCTGCGATCTGCAGATTGAGTGGGGGTAGAAAAAAAAACGTTATCGTGCGGATCAGATGGTGCACACCATTTTCCTTTTCCCCCTTTTTTTTTTTTTTTTTTTTTTCCTCGATCAGTGGGGATTTACTCGAATGGGTCGGCGATCTTTGTGAACTGGCGGATCGTGATCAACCAGGCCGTTAAATCATGAGCTTGGAAATATAATCCAGCATGCATGCTTTACGACTTTCCTGGCTCTGACTAGTAAATGATTAATTTGGAAACGTCAAACTATCTGCCGCACTGAAGTGCCGTATGGTAGCGCTACAACTCTGATACTGATTGTAGTGTTGCTAAAATTTTCAGCTAAGGCTCGTAATTACAGCATCGAGGAAGTCTGAAAATTGAAAATTTTCTATCTGCAGCGTGAACATTGATGTGAGATCCCTGACCGATATTGAGTGATGTTTCACAGCACTGCAGCGATGTCAAAGCTTTTCCACGAGCGAGAGATTAACACATTACTATGCAATATTGGTGATTGTCATACTTGTTAGAAAAGCAATGTGTTCTGCAAGTCGCACTCAATAATTGGGGAGGAGAAGGGTTGAGACATGGATGCACGAAAACAGATCATGAGCTCGGTCGATCGAGGGTTTGGAAAGCTGCAGTGCTGCCTGGGACACTTTGCCAGGGTTGGGACCCCACCCCAGAAGACCTCATCTAGGGGGGGTCTTAATTTTTTTTATTCTTATCTTATCCAAGCGATCGGCCTGTCCCAGCTACCACAAATTTACATTTATATTCCCTCGCATGTGTGCTCCGATCTGCGCAGTACCTGCATTCCGTGGTCTGGTCGGATTCTGCGAGGAACATTGTGCATCTGTAGAGGTGAGTCCAAGTACAAGCTGAGTCACGACCCACCAAAAAAATCTTTGTCTCGTAGCTCCTGATTTACAAGAGAATTGTCTTCCGTTGAGATGTGGGCCCTGGAGCTGGTCGGCTGGGTTTCGCAATATCGATTGCTGTGCGGAGTGTCGAGGTAACCGAAATGCTTTAGAAAGGCGTTACTTAACTTTACACCCCTGTATAAATGGATCGAAGTAGCGGAGAAACTTGCAGCTTGTTTATATAGTTCCCGCGACCAACTTATGTGATTCAGCCTTCTCAGGATGCGAGACCCAGCGCCGTCATCCACGGTTCCACTTCAACTGAGTTCTTCTGAACTCTGGTCCACGTTTAGATTAATTGAGAGGAGTATCTGAACCTAGAGGATCCTTGTTGAGAGTGAAGAAGGGGTTGCATACTCATTTGATAGGGAATGGGGAGTCAATAACAGAAATGCAAGTGTCGAGAAATTTGAGTTCAAGAGCAGCACACAGCCGCAGTGCTACCGAACATCTGTAAACGTGGTTATCTCAGGTTCATAAACAAGAATACACCTCCTTCGGAACAACAGAAGCTAGGACCAACTTCGTCTATACTTGTTGTTTTGCAGGGACTGTTTGCTTCGGCGCTCAATCAAGCACTGTCTATGACGGGTTAGAAGTATGCCAGTGGTGCAACGAATTTTTGTTACAAACCTGCCGGCACGAAGAGGTGCAGACCTTCTTACAGTCGACACTGGGGTTCAGTCACAGCTGGTGTCTCTAACCTCGAATGCCCTATCTGGGACACCGGCAGCAGTGATTAATTTAGACGCTCTGCAGTGGTGCCCCAATACAGCACATTAAATTGAAGAGAGTATAGTTTGCTCATCGCAGAATGTGTTGTAATAGAACTGATGACATTGCCAGGACTAGAGGGTGAGAAGGGAGGTCTAGGCGCACGATTTCACAATCGCCAGGAGTCAGTAGTGTAACCGCCATGGGTCGGCACTCGTGTTGTCACAAACAGAAACTGAAGAAAGGCTTATGGTCACCAGAAGAAGACGATAAGCTGGTGCGATATATCACTCAGCACGGCCATGGCTGCTGGAGCGCTGTTCCTAAACAAGCCGGTCTTCTCCTCTAACCCATGACAGCTTTAATTAAGTACTTGTCACTTCAGCTGCTATATATTCAAAACCAACGATGAACTTTGTTTGCACACAATAATATACTGCTCGATTCGCACCTTTTTCGCCCATGACTTGGTCACAAGATCATTAGAGGATTAGAACTTCTCCAGGAAACTTGTGCCGATAAATTGAAGCTTTTTTTTTCAGTTTTCCGGCATAAATTCTCCTGGAACTTCTAAGCAGTTAGAAGTTGTTTACTTAGCTAAACAAGCTTCTATGTTCCTCGACTGGAAAATGAAGGCTTGTTTTGTCCCTGCACTTGCTTTCTTTTTGGATCGATTCTGATAGCTACAGCCTACTTAATCATCAACAATTATTTCACATACAATTTAAGGCCCACAGTCAGTTGAATGGGACCAGTTGAAAAGACCCCGAATTCTAGATTAATGCAAGGAAGCTGCATTTCGGAAATGAAAATGGTTTCGCAGGAATGAAGAGCGACCAGGTTAGCACACTTTGTTTTGTACTAATCACTAACCAATATTTGTGTTTGTGAATGGATGCAACAGGTCTTCAAAGGTGTGGGAAGAGCTGCAGGCTGCGATGGATCAACTACTTGAGACCAGATTTGAAACGAGGGGTATTCTCCGCGACAGAAGAAAGTTTGATAATAGACTGGCATGCTGCACTTGGCAACAGGTCTAAATCTTCACCTCACTAAACCTTAAATTTATCCATCAATGTCACATGCACCATGAATGGACGATATTGCAAATTCATTATTCGTGAGCCGTTTCAATGGGAAAATGCTGGAATGTTCGGTAGTCAGTATTTGTAGCAAATTTATGTCTGCTCTAGGTCACGTGCAATGACTACGTTAAGCATAAGGAATGAAGTTCACATCCAATATGTTTTTTTAAAAGAAATAGATTGCTTTTGAAAGGACTGAATAACTGAAGTGGTGGATATTAGAAATTGTTTACAAGGTTTGCTGTCATTAAGGAAGATGAGAGATTCTGTCAACCCTTGTGAATGGTCGACATGATACAACATTGTTATTTTTAATTTTTTAATTTTTAAAATTAGTCAATCGGTGGGTCTGCAGGTGGTCACAGATTGCAACACAACTCCCAGGCCGCACGGACAACGAGATCAAGAACTTCTGGAACTCATGCATCAAGAAGAAGCTCCGCAGCATGGGAATCGACCCCAGCACTCACAAGTTTGTCACTCCCAACCCGACACTGATGGAAGCTGGGGAGAGCTCCTCCAGTGAAATTAACCCTACGAACAACTCCCACAAATCTTCCACCCAGCTCATGGCCGGCGGCATCGACAGAGCGGGTGAAGGGAATGTAAGGTTGAGGAACAAGTTCAAAGCTCAGTCTACGTTCCTCGTTCCGCAAACTGCCCAAAACATATTCAACTCCTCGGAGGATGTGATGTACAATCCAACCAGATCCTTAATCCATCGAGTAAGCTCTCAATACTCTCACGCAGTCGGACACTTAGTGGACTTCAACAGGGTTGACTTGCAAGCTGGCCATACACCATCAATGAAACTCTCGACTGACAACCTTCTGGAGCGTTTGATGGTGAGCGGGACAAGTAACGACGCAGGGTTCTCGCCCACAGCGCCGAATCTGGCTGAGAGCTCCCCAAACCATCTTCAACCTGAAAGCTATGATTCCGCGAGGTTAGTAGAAGTTGAGCAACAGTCCACCACTATTCCACCCGTTTTCAATCCTGTGTATTGGCTGCTCGGTCAGTCTGGGGCAGCCACCAGTTCTTCGTCTGCATCAGTTCAGGTCCACTTGACCTGCAAAGGCAACAAAGTGCACGACCGAGGTACACAGCAATTGGATCCGCAGCTTAGCAGTTTCTCCGACTCTCCCCAGTATCTTTCAGAGATGGAGCCGAGGCTGGGTCCACGATCAACACACTCCGACTCATCCTCGCTCTCACCTAACCCTGACTTCATCCCGGGGGGAAAATTCCCAGGTCACGCTAGTTTTGTACAGGATAGGGGAGAATTGAGCTCCATTACTGCAAATCTTCACCAACCTGGTGACACTCTGCAGCTCGGTTGTAGGTCGGGTAACGACATCTACATGTCTGCGGATCTGGAGCACCCCGAACGCGGCCTGCGAAGGCCATATTTCTGGCCAGAACCGAACAGTTGCAGCACCAGCAACCTCAGCATCGAGATAAATCATCAGACTAACAGAAACCATCGTGCCCTAAGTCCTCTTGGCACCAACCATCTATGGCAGAATCGAGCTGGCACCGATATTCCAGCGATTTCGACCGTCAAACGGAAGTGTGCTTCTGTTCTGCCTGCGAAAGATGTAATCAGTGACCAACACTTCTCGGCTAAGAGGGCCACGTTGATCTGCTCTCCCGATGATCTCCTAAAGCGTGGAGCGGCGAATCCCGATTGCGACGTTGTCATGAAGTTGTGCGATTTGCAAGATCAGCAGCAGACCTGTCACAACGTCCACGATCGGACCAGGATCAACACTGTTGGGCTTGATCAAGTGAATCATCAGCTGCTGGCAGTTACAGGTCCTGAGGTTTATGTCGACAATGATCCGTGGCAAATTGTGCAGACTCAGGATGGTGCACAAGGTCACAGCTCTTTCTACCACGCCCCCATGGTTCCCATTTTTCGAGACCTTCAACGGATGGCTGCCGTTCTTGACCAGATTTAGAGGTCGTTTGGCGATTGGTTTTCACATTGTAGAGATACTCTCATTTCATACAGAATCTTCACACTGTAACGAAAACTTTTGGTTCAAACATGTACATGAAATTCAATGACTCAAAACTGCTGAAGTTGGAATGGAAGAAGCAGACATGGGTGAATTGTAAAACTATATATCACCCACAAGCCAGTGCGGATGTCCATCTGGAGGTAACTTATTAGATAGCATGATCAATACTAAAAATCATTTCATTCTTTAACCAATGCAATAAATCAACTGCTGTGTGCGATGAGTGCCTGAAAGTTTCTTAAGAGTCCTAGTTTGAAGTCAGTGCTTGAAGTGCATTATTCCACGCACTCAATATTGTTTGAACAACTCCACTCATCCTGTATATGATTCAGTCACCGATGACAATTCAAAGCCTCTTTTGATCCGATGGAACCTTCTGCGTCTGGAATCATCTCCGCCTGTGTTGCTTATTCCGCATCCACTGAAGAAGTCTCTGATTTCGGGCACGTCTTTCATTCATCATTCGTGTTTCTCCACTAGTGGGTACAATATGCTCGCTGTCTGGTATGGCCCATCAAGGTACATGTCTGTCAGTGTCATGCTCCAAGTACAGATTTTCTTGAGCTCTGACTGCGTGGTCCAGGCTTTTTGTCTTTGTTGGTATGCAATAGGTCGATATCCTTCACATTCTAGGCTCTCTTTCCCTCATCTCCTATCGTAGATCATACACACTTATACACACTCACAAAAAGTTCTGCGATTTTATTTTATTCTTTTGTTTTTATTTTGGTGTTTTTCCCCTACATGTGCAAAAGCATTTCCATGTCACTGATTACAGTACGTGCGTCTCATATCAACACATCAATACCACAATATTCCATGATTTGAACAGTTTTTTGTTTTTTTCGTTATTTATTATTTACTATTTATTGTTTTTATTGTTTTATTTTTAATGATCCCTGTGTGGCAGTCATTGTTGGAGTTTGTTACTTCGGGTAATTGGCTCTATTGAGGAGAAAACATTGACTTTTGTGATCCTCATGAGAGCTGCCTAGTCGGAGAGTTTCGAACATGCAGCCTCACATGCACAATTCAATCAGATCCTATCCAAGTTGATTTCTTAGCTCTGATTCACACTGATGCCAACTTCCAAGCTGTATCCAACAACATCAACAATTGGAAATAACGACACTTGAATAACTGAAACAGGTAGTCCAAAGTCAGTTAGCCAAAGTAACCACTTTCTTGCAAATCAGGAACCAGACCAGAACAAGACTAATTTAAGGATGTCAAATTACTTGACAAGGGCTTCGGTTTACGAAAGTAGCTACAGCTAACATGGAGGATAGTCCCAAAATCTTACCCATGCATAGTAAGCCTCTTGTACATTCTTGAACACTTGGAGGAGAAAGCTCTGCTCAGCAATCAGATATCGCATCAAACAATCAGCGGGGTTGCCAGTTTTCTGCAGAGCCTCTAATAATGGCATGGGACACTTGTAACATCGCCCTTTTTCTCTGGAACAGAACAGCCACTGTATTATTCAGCTACATTCCTCTGATCCCTCATAAGTGATATGTACATTGTACACCCTCTTGATACATACATCATGATATTTGTGTAACTTTTTTATTTCGACCTTAGACTAAGGTTGATTGTTTAGCACAATGCATTGCCACCATTTTCCTTTGCAGTAGCAAGTTAACACACAAAACATCTACAGCGAATGATCAAAGCTGAATCCATTCATAAACGACAATATGTCAACATTCAAGTTAAGAGGAACTGCGTACCTCTCCCATGTGCTGAGAGTTCGATTGGATCGAAAAAAGCAAGTGAGTTGTGAGAAAATGGGGTTTGTACACATGGCAATTGACTTGAAGATGTCAGACACACTCCATCAACATGGAACCAATTCGGTCAAGACTTGTTGCCTTTTCTGTCAGACAACATTTAATGCCCTCATCAAGACCGCCTTGAGGCCGGCCCCCCACGGTCACTTGTCTCCATGCGAGGTCGGCGACTTGGAAACCAGCTCTAGAGAGAGAAATCCAAGGATTGTGAAATGAAGCAGCCCTGACCACACAACACCCAATGCCATAGCACAGCTGAGAGACGTAGCACAACGGAACCTCTACTTTGACTACTTGACATTGCCAGTACGTGTACTTGGTGACCAGACAAACCATACGTCTGCATTGGGAATGTGAAGGAAACACAAGTCCATCATGTTGTATCAATTGGGATTTTTCTTCGTAGCCACCCATTCAATGAGGTCTACCGTAATTTACTGGCTGTACTGCAAACTGTGTAGAAATGAATCGATGAAAGCAAGCAACACAAGGGAAGATGAAAATCCACAGAAGGTTACCTTTAAATTGGAATAATATCCCCTCTTTCTCAATTTTAGCCTTAATAAACAAAACAGAACTGAAATATTGGCAAAAGAAAGAGCCAAATATGTTATTGTTCAAGCTATGGTATATCGATCTCAATGTATGTGGGAAACCAATGATTATGTTGCATTAATCTGGACTACGTCAAGATTATCCTTAATAAATGCATCAGCTGATTAGTGGAATGAAATTCATGTTTTATCACCTCCACAGGAGTGCAATATAGCGCTCTCAAAAAAGGAGAACGAAACTATAGAATAACATGTGGGGAAGTTTCAACAGTGCCACTTCGGAAATCTTCACCTGCTTCGTAACCATTGCGAAAACTGCTTTCACAAACTCCTTGATCATAAAGATCATCGCTACTGAAACCAAACTGCATGATAGTGGTGTTTAAGCCCTTGAAGAAGCCAGTTAGACCCTTGTAACGCATTTTCTTCGCGATTTCGTTCAAAAAGTCTGAATCCATGAGTAACTCTTTAGAACGAAATGTGAAGGAAATAATTCCACAGAGAAGACTGTTATATTCAACAGTATATTCTGAACCTTTCATGCCTATCCTAGTAGCAACCATGCCATTGGCATAGCAGTATGATTCAAGGGAACTACTAGAGTCGAGAAATAAATTAATATAACTCGAGAGCTAGAAACAATGAAATATCTCGAGGCGTCTCAATGGTCATGCAAATGACCGACGAAACAAAATCCCGTAAACAATTTCAACATGTTGTACAGGCATTACTGTGTCGGAAAGAGATCAACTGGAAGTTGAATTCGTATCTGAATCAACACCTGGAACCATGACATACCTCGAAGAACTTGCATTAACACAATTGGCAGAAGACTCAGAGACCTTGAAAGCCTGTGAATACTTGTCACAAAAGCAATGCGATAAAGAAGAGTTAGAAATGACATGTTGAAACAAAGTAGGTCATGAATACTGTCACAATGAGACAAACAAGATTTAACAAGGAATAAATGTCAGTTACCCAAACTTTCCTCACTTGCCGCCTTTGATGAACATCGAAAAGATAAGAAACCAAGTCACATAAAATCACAAGAAAGATATCGATTTCCATGAAGTACATCCAAGACACACCTTGACGAATTCTACAATGGTCCTCCTTTGTTTCTGTAAAGAATTTGCGTTTACAAAAAAGCAAACGCAGCGTCAATATCTTACGCGGCATTTTTGGGCTTTAGCCTTCCGCTGTCTGTTATCCTGCACAGCAAAGCATAGGGTAGGTATCCACAAATTAATCTCAAATGCACATATCAATTTTCACACAATGCACAAAGAAACCAAACGCATGCTCTTCTTCTCATCCTCTTGAATGACACAGCAATGACAAAAGCATTAACTTTCCCCAAAATTCAATTTTCTTCTCAACGGCTGGTTTAAAAATGGCTGAAGTCCAGAACGTAGGTCGTCAAAGAGAAATGGCTGGAAATTCCATAGCGGCCCATTCAAACTGTGTGCAGCAACCGCCCATCACAAACAAATAGCTTGCGTGAACGTTCATATGAGGCTTTTGCATCACCACTATTTTAAAAAAAAAAAAAAAAAAAAAAAAAAAAAAGACCAAATACTATGGAATTGCCGTGATTAGGGGAACTCGGAAGGTAGCGGCAATTGAATAAGGGTTCCACTTCAGCCTCCTGCTGCAGATCGACATTATGAGAAACTACACATTTCAGTGTCAAAGCAACATGGCAAATCATGCACAACAAGATTCCATAAGTTCTCATACCTTTCACTTGTGAATCGAGTGTCGGTGTGGGTGCTCAAAGCCAGAGCAATCGATCTATCCTTGGACACAAAAACACAAGATTCTGTAAGTGTACTTCTTATAGTCTACGGTAATGAGCTTGAAGCGGTACAAGAACACATGGATGGTGGTAGTAATCAAGTTGAGGTTTCAGGCTTCTGAATACGATGATGATTTCAAGGCTGCGACTTGAGAATAACGAGACCTGAATTCTGTTCTAAAATTCAATCCAGATCCAACAATCTTATTTAAGTCCACATTCAACAAGCTGAAGAAGCTGCCCACCCCAATATCACCACATTTGAGATTCAAAACTTGGGAAGCTACCATGGGAAAGAACCTGCAACTTCTCTGACAAAGAGCTTCGCATCAGTAACAAACAGATCCAACTGATTCACTGGGAAACTCACTTTTCTTGTGTAGCAACACACCGAGTCTGTAGGTGGGTATATGTAAAGTTGAACTGTGCATATATGTTGCTGTCTAGGCATAGTTATAGTTTCGTTACTGAGCAGAAATATGAATGGGAGAAGTATTTTTGGAGAATATGACGTGCATCAACAAGTGCACTATAAATTAAGATGGTGTTGATGGTCCACATAGAATGGAATTATGATCCAATAGTTAATTGAAGATGGTTCACCTCAATAAGTAACAAAGTATATCCAGATATATCCACTTAGTTTATTTTGTCTTTATATTGTCTCTCATTAAAAAAAAATAGACAAATAATTAAAAATAGATGAATATCATTTTTAAGGGCAATTTTAGGTGGAGTATGTGACTTCTAGACTCACACTTCAAACCTCCAATTAATATATTTATAAAACTATGGCTATTTTCTTTTCTCACATGGAAGTTGTCTGTGTGTGTGTGTGTTTTTTTTTTTTTTTTTTTTTTTTTTTTGGAAGTTTTATTTTGATTCTCTCTAGACTTTAAATAAATCACATTTAATAAAGATCTATTTGTTATTCTCAAATCCTAAGTAGCCCTCAGTAACTAGCACTTATTTCTAAATGATATAGATTCAATATGACAACATAATCTTTTAATCTATGTAATAATCTTCTAATAAGATAATACATCCAATATATAGAGTCTTACTCAAATACAACATATGGTTGAATAATCAAGCCTTTTTAAATTAGAATTTTTTTTAAAAAAATCTAATTTTTCTAAAATAAGCTTAATAAGATGTCCTAAAATAAGGTTCCAACAATATTTCTTTGCATAATTAAGAAAGGTGCCACATGATGCAATTCTTGTGGAGGAATATTGATCTAAGGTCACAACAATCATATTGGAATATATACATGTCATAGATATAAATATTTATTCTAATAATTATCTATATAATTGATAGAAATAGATAAATATTAATTAATTCCATAATAGCTTATAAAAAAGCTTTTTAGAAGCTTCATAAATATAATTTTGACTTTACATGTATTTATAGCTGATTGATAGATTAGAAACTTGATCAACAAGTAAATTATGTGCCACACATATTGATAGCTTATAAAATAAGCTAATTATGTGGTGTACATATAAAAAGCTTGCCTTGCAAGTTAAATCATATGTCTTATAAAATTAACATATATTAGAGGTCTTATAGAACATTGTTCTGTAGCTCTTAGTTAAAAAGTATATATAGAGGTAAGAATGAAACCTTCTTTACTCTTATCAATGCCTTTCTAATACTTAGTCTTCTTTCAAGACTTTTTAGTCTTCTTATCTTTGGCAATAGTCATTCTAGTTTAATATATTACCATCTTTGAATAACTTTCTAATCTTTTCGAGTGACACAAGAGTATATTGAATTTTCTTCTTTTAAAATTCATATTCTTGATGATTTAATAAGAGTACTAATTTATTATTTTTATCTTTTTTTAAAAGTGAGTGAATTATTTTATTGTATTTTGAAGGTTGTAGATAACTTACTTTTAAACAAATAGTTTAATTATCTAACATTGATTTTTTTTTAAAGAAATTAAATTATCCTTCTTCATAGAAATTTTCATTTGATATTAGAGGTTGTAGATTATCCTCCTCTAATTTAACTTTTTCAATTTTTTTGAATTATCTATAGAAAAAAAAATTATAGATGTTATTCTTGGCGGAAGTGAAAATAGATTTATAACTATTGTAGATCTTCACAAGTTTATTAACATTCTTAGGATAGAAATCTCACATACTTCTAATATGAATCATAGATGTACTATTCTTACATCTATGAAAGAAGTCAATAATGAAGTTCAAAATTTGTGTTAAGAAGATGTGAAATTAAGAAAAGTAAGTAGATTAAATTCACAATTGAATCTGAGGAATCTTACTACTACAAATATAAAAGAGGCAAGGATAAGTATACTTAACAAGTTTAATGGAACAAGATCAAAATTTTGAGGGTTTTTATAACAAGTAAAGCTCTATCTAAAGTTGCATCCTTCTTAATATCTTAATGGATTTATCCAAGTTGAATTCATATGTGCATTTCTTTTTGCAAGTGTTCTTTCTTAATTTGCACCTTTGATAGTAAAAGATTCATAATTATTCTATGATTTGAATTTATTCTAGGAGGTGTTTATAGCCACATTTGGAGGAAGTAATTAAAAAATGATAACAAAAACCAAGCTTGTATTTCTATGATAAAGATCACATTCAACCACCACACATGTTGCTGAATCTCAAAATCTTGTTTACGACATGGTGTCACGGACATAATCATGTAAACTAGTAATTACATATATAAATAGATAGAAGTAAGTAAAAGTAGGTAAAAATAAGTAAATTCTATAGTATTTAATATGGAAGCTTCTTAAAAGCTTCATAGATACTGCTTTGACTTCATAGGTGTCTTTAATTGACTTTTTGGATTAGAAACGTGGTCAACAAGTTGGCCATGTGCCACACATGTTGTTAGCTTGAAGATCAAGCTAATTATGTGGCCCACACGTAGAAGAACTTGCCTTGTAAGTCAAGGCATGTGTCCTACAAAGTCAACACATATTGGAGGTCCTATAGAACGTCGCCATGTAGCCCCTAGTTAGATAGTATATATAGAGACAAGAGTGAAGGCTTCTTCACTCTTGTCAACTCCTTTCTTGCTTCTAGTCTAGTTTCAAGGGTCTTTAGTTTTCTTGTCTTTTGGCAATAGCCATTTCAGTTTCTCTTTCAATATATATCCTTGTTTATATATATTTTTTTACCTCTCTTTGAGTGAAGGCTCACTTGTCTGAATTATTTTTTCATCGAGTTCTTGTCCTTGACAGATTGACAAGAGTACACCTACAATATCAGAGCTTTGTCTAATCTTGATTAAGAGTGGATTACCCCTTTTTCTTGATAAGATATAAGCATATTAGAAGATGTAGATTACCCTCTTCTAAACTGATATTGTCCTTAGTATTTTCTTTGTTCTCAAGTCCTCTCTTCTATTTGACTTGAGCGATATTAGACATCTTCTCTCTTCTAAATGTTATCATGGCAGAACTTGTTGAAATGAAGAATGCAATGGCACAAATGCAAGAACAATTGAGGGAATTAATGCTTGCAATGCATCAACTCAATTTACCACTACAAAGAGCAACAAAATTGGCAAGAAGTGAAGATATAGAAATGGTTGGAGCTGCTTCAACATCTGCTCCAAACCATGTCCTTTCTCCTATGGTGGAACGCCCTTCAAATATTAGAGAACCAAGAATTGTCCTACCCGAGAAGTTTGATGGCACCAGATCCAAGTTTCGAGGATTTATCAATCAAGTGCAACTTGTGATTGAACTTCAATCCCAAAGCTATCCAACTTCAGGATCGTAAGTTAGATTCATTGGTACGCTTCTTTCAAGTTCAGCATTATTGTGGTTTTCATCTTTTCTTGAACGACGAGATCCAATATTGGATAATCTAGAGGCTTTTTTGATGGAGTTTCGATCCATGTATGGAAAACATGATGCAATTCGTGTTGCAACCAATAAGATCCATATTTTACGATAAGGCAATCAATCAGTAACGTTATATGCTTCACAATTTCGACAACTTGTAACTGATATCAAGTGGGATGATGCTGCACTTATTAGCCAATTTCTCTACGGATTATAATATAAGGTAAAAAAATTAATGCTCAACTTGCCTAATCTTCAAACATTGAGTCAAGCAATTGACTTTGCTGTAAAGTGCGACAATTGCCTTTTTGAATTCCGATCTGAGAACCGTACAAGTGGACCTCAACGTTACTATAATTCAACGGCAACACCAACACCTCTTCAACACATACATTCGGAAGTAGAGG